GAAGCTGGCAGAGGGTGCTGGAAACCATGTTATGGAACTTGTGAAGCAACAAGTCCTAGTAAGGAAACTGAGAAGAGGGGGAGATGGGCAGAAAAGGTGTATAAAAGGAAGTGGTGGTGGGGAAAAGACAGTAGTGTCTTTCTTTGCTGCAGAAATATAAGCAATATATCCATTTCAAAGCAAGACGGCTTGTGAGTGGTTATTTACTATCGCTATATAGATCCTACAGTTTGACAATAACTGAAGCATAAAAATTAAACATGAAACTATAGTCTGGCCCTCCAACAGTCTGAGGGACAGTGAACTGGCCCCCTGTTCAAAAAGTTTGAGGACCCCTGTTCTTGACTCTCCAGCATCCGCTGGGAAAGCAAAAGGAAAATAAATATACCATGCTACTTCGGATCAACTCCAAAGCGACTGAATGAATAAACAACAAACACATTAAAGCATATAAACATTATAATCACTATTATGATCACGCCTTTCCAGTCTCCAATATTTTGACCCCTCTAAATTTCCTTTTTGCAATCACATTTTTAATTAGGAAAAAGAGAAACACAGTGTATATATATATGTGTGTGTGTGTTTGTGTGTATATATGTGTGTGTATAAAATGAGTAGCCACCACAACAAACTGCAAAAATTAATTAGAAAAAAACACACCAATATAGATAGACACACAATGTATTTTAACAAACAAATCAACAGACTTGGGTCTAATTGTAAGAATTTCGCACTTCTGCTTTTGACAAGACTCTTCCAAATTCATAAATCCAACAACTGACATTTGCCCCTGTTGTTGTCATCGTCGTGAAAAAGTGATAAACAAGTCCCAATCTTTCTTGAAGATACTCAAAGATTTCCCTTGAATCAGCAGAGTCACTCTGTCCATCTCTGATCGTTTTCAGATGTTCATCAGTCATTCTTTGAGTGACAGAAGGACACAATCAAAGCAGCCATGGAAGGCTTTGCGGCCTCTCTTTCAAAACATTTAGAGAGGTGTAATCAATATAGAAGGGGAATGCTGGTGTGTTCAAGTGTAGGTGCTGTTACAACTTTTATTATCGGCACAACAATGACCAGAATTAAGAAAATAAAATCTGTTGATAAATTAAAATAAAATCTGGATCAGCTATAGAGGAAACCACAAAAGCATCTTTTATAAGTAGAGAGTATATTAAACAAATCTTTCTATATAATTATATTATATTTAGATTCAAAATCTTATAAGAGGTTGGTTTAAGCCAGCGTTTCTCAACCTGGGGGTTGGGACCCTTGGGTGGGTCGCGAGGGGGCGTCAGAGAGGTTGCCAAAGACCACCAGGAAAACACAGTATTTTCTGTTTGTCATGGGGGTTCTCTGTGGGACGGTTGGCCCAATTCTGTCATTGGTGGGGTTCAGAACGCTCTTTGATTGTAGGTGAACTATAAATCCCAGCAACGACAACTCCCAAATGCCAAGGTCTATTTTTCCCAAACTCCACCAGGGTTCACATTTGGGCATATTGAGTATTTGTGCCAAGTTTGGTCCAGATCCATCATTGCTTGAGTGTACAGTGCTCTCTGGGTGTAGGTGAACTACAACTCCAAAACTCAAGGTCAACGTCCACCAAACCCTCCCAGTATTTTCTGTTGGTCATGGGAGTTCTGGGTGCCAAGTTTGGTTCAATGTCATCGTTGGTGGAATTCAGAATGCTCCTTGATTCTGGGTAAACGATAAATCCCAGCAACTACAACTCCCAAATGACAAAATCAAGCCCCCACCCCACCAGTATTCAAATTTCGGTGTTTCGGGTATTTGTGCCAAATTTGGTCTAGTGAATAAAATACATCCTGCATATGTGATATTTACATTACGATTCATAACAGGAGCAAAATCACAATTATGAAGCAGCAACAAAAATAATTTTATGGTTGGGGGTCACCACAATTTGAAGAACTGTATTAAGGGGTCGTGGCATTGGGAAGGTTGAGAACCACTGGTTTAAGTGATGGTCACTAGTAAAACTGAATTAACATGTTGCAAAAGGATGTATGTCTAAAAAGAGTGAAGATGAAAAAGAAGATGAACTTTATTTTTCTACCCCGCCTCCATCTCCCCGAAGGGACTCGGGGCGGTTTACATGGAGCCAAGCTCAGGCAAAATACAATTAAGAGCAAAAGCAATAACAAATTAAAATAGCATAAAACAGCATAACAACCATAAGCAAGCATCAAACAACAACAAGCTAATTTTGGAGGGAGGGAAAGGGACCACTGTGTGAACTGATTAAAGAATGGGGGTTCAATAAGGTGGATAAAAACGTATGATAGCATAGGAAATGGCGTGGCAAACAGAGCAGTTCAACAGGATCAGATCAACTTAAACTTAAGAATATATAATGATGTAATATAGGAATTCAGATTCAGATTGTGATTCTTGTCATGATACAGATTATTTGTCATAAGAGTCCTCAGTCAGAAAAAGCATAATGAAACATCCAGGTCTTTAATTCTGTGACGATGTGTAAATTTTATTCCTTTGGTTATGTGTAATTTAAACAGTAGTTTAGGGATGGTAAGTATGGAGGATTATGTTTTGTTGGAGATGGTGGCTTGGCGTTAGCTGAGTTGCCATAGCAACAGGGGCGGAGCCAACTGCCTCTTCAGGAGGCAGCTGTTTTAAAAAGTCAGTCAGTGGCCGGAGAGCTACTGGGAGGACTGAGTCTCTGGGTGGAGATTCAGGGAATGTGTCTGTAGCCAGTGTGCTATAGGAAAGACTGGATCTCAGGGTGGAGATTCAGGGAATCAATTGGTGACCAAAGTGGTTGCAGAGAAGGACCCGGTAGTGAGAGAGCTACAGGGGGTTGTTGATTCTGAATTAAGAATCAAGGTTTGGCAGGGTTTAAGCCTGCTGTGCCTGCTGTGAAACGTTTTGAAGTCTGTGCCTGAGATTACTCATGAAACCTTTCCAATGTAACCATCAAGATTTGTGCCTCTTGAGAAGAAACAGTTAAACATGTTATACTCCTGTTAAAATAAACTTGTTACTGTTTTCCTCAAGCCTTGCCTGATACAGTTTCTTCTAAGTTGAACAGCCTGCAATAGTGAAGTCAGCCAGAGACAGTAAACGCTACGCTATCCACTGAATAAAACCTTCTGTAATTAACAGTCCCTTTATAAGATAGTTCCTAGTCTGATATTGATCATTGTCTGGCTTCCCTCACAGATTAGGTGGCAGTGGGTGTTCTACAACACGCACCTTCACATTTGGTGGCATTCGGTGGCATTAAAACGGTCTCCTTCACAAATTCCTTATGGAAAGTGGATAGGGAGGGTGCCAGCCTAATCTCCCTGGGGAGGGAGTTCCAGAGACGGGGGGCCACCACCGAGAATGCCCTCTCCCTCGTCCCCACCAACCACGCCTGAGATGGGCGCGGGAGCGAGAGAAGAGCTTCCCCGGAAGATCTTAAGGACCGTGTGGGTTCATAGGGGAGGAGGCGGTCACGCAGATAGGCAGCTCCTGAAGCGTTAAGAGCTTTATAGGTAATAACCCACACCTTGAATTGGGACCGGAAACTTATCGGCATCCAGTAGAGCTGTTTAAACAGGGGGGTTGGCTGCTCCCTGTAACTTGCTCCAGTTACACTGTTCTACAATTTTTCAGTTTTTCTCAGTTGCAGAAACGAAATGTGCCATTTCTTAATAAATTTAACATGCTGAATTTAAATATAATAATTAAATGTGTTAATTGGCTCTGGTTTTTATGAAACAGCTATTTCAATTTTCTCCACAATAGGTAATTCGTTAATATTATGATAATGCGCCTAACCTTACTGCATGTATATAAACCATGAATATTTACTAAATTTTAGTCAAATTATATTGCCAATAGTTTATACATGAGAAATATTTATTTAATTAGTCTATTGTTTATGTTTGTGAGGCAAGAAACTATATTTGTAGGCCTAATGCAGTTGAAAAGTCTGAAAGTTGAAATGTCGCTTGAATCGTGACTTTAGTTTATATCCTGTTTGCTTCTCTTGACTTTTCTTTTGTGTTCAAGGAAAGGATTGTCTCTTACAATGCTCCAGCAGTAGTCTGACAGCATTGACGGAGTCCATTTGCCTTGATATCTTTTTTCCATAGTGCTTTATTTACACACGTGCAAGGCATCACTACAGTAAAAGGAACAATGTAAAATGATGTTTAACTATACTGTTTCAGTCTTCAACTGACTGACCCTCACCATTCAAAAGTCTGGCCTTATATAGGGCTTTCTGGCTTTTGCACACGGCACTAATACTGCGTCATCAAACTTTCTAGAGTATTCTAGAATCTTCCATAGTGTAAGTCGCAACATGCATTTTTTCAACCATACGTGATCACATGATTGCTTATATCATAAAAACTAGAGCCAATATACATTTATAAATGTCATTTTCGTTTTCAGCACCCCAAAATCATAAAAGAACAGCTATTCTCAGGCTCACAACTTTCTAGAATCTTCCATAGTGTAAGTCGCAACATGCATTTTTTCAACCATACGTGATCACGTGATTGCTTATATCATAAAAACTAGAGCCAATATACATTTTTAAATGTCATTTTCATTTTCAGCACCCCAAAATCATAAAAGAACAACTATTTTCAGGCCCGCAACTTTTTCTCCGTTGAACAGTGTTATTAATCTAGCTGCCGACCTTTGCACCAGCGGTAGTTTCCGAACCATCTTCAAGGGCAGCCCTACGTAGAGTGCATTACAGTAGTCCAATCTTGAGGTAACTAAGGCATGGACCACCATGGTCAAGTCAGACTTCTTGAATTACGGTCGCAGTTGGCACACAAGTTTTAACTGTGCAAAGGCCCTCCCGGCCACCGCGGACACCTGAGCCTCAAGGTTCAGCTCTGAGTCCAGAAGGACCCCCAGACTGCGGACCTGTGTCTTCAAGGGAAGTGTAACCCCGTCAAACACAGGTTGCCATCCTATACCCCGTTCGGCCAAGTGACTGACCCGAGGACCTCTGTCTTATCAGGGTTCACTTTCAACCTGTTGGCCCTCATCCAGCCCATCACAGCAGCCAGGCACTGGTCCAGGACCCAAGAGGCTTCCTTGGATTTTGGTGGAAAGGAGTATTAGAGTTGCGTGTCAGCTGCATAGAGATGACAACGAACTTCAAAATTCCGGATGACCTTGCCCAGAGGTTTCATGTAGATATTAAAAAGCATGTGGGAAAGAATAGAATCTTGTGGGACCCCACAGGTCAAAGGCCAGGGGTCCGAGCAGGTATCCCCCAGCTTCACCAACTGGGTACGGTCACCAACATGAAAAGTTCGGAAAATTCTATTTTAGGGAGTCTCTCTGGGGTCAAATAATACTGTTCTTTCTGATGTGAATTCTATGTCTATGTAGATTTGAACTCTCAGAGAAGCTCTTTCCACGCTCCATGCATTTCTGGAGTTTCTCCCCATTGTGGGTCCTTTGATGCGAACATAGACTTGAATTACGAGTGATGCTCTGTCCACACTCCAGACAAAGCTTCACTCCAGTAATATATAAGCGTTTTTCAAAGTGTGAATCCTTTGATGTGAACATAGACTTCAACCCAAGTGAAGCTCTGTCCACAGTCCAGGAATGTATAAGGTTTCTTCCCAGTGTGAGTTCTTTGATGTCTTTGTAGACTTAAATTATCAGTGAAGATCTTTCAACATTCCAGGCATTTATAGGGTTTCTCCCCAGTGTGAGTCCTTTGATGCAAACATAGATCTAAATAATGAGTGAAGCTCTGTCCACACTCCATGCATTTCTAGGATTTCTCCCCTACATGAATCCGTTGATGTGTATGTAGAGCTGAACTCTGAGTGAAGCTCTGTCCACACTCCAGGCATGTTTAGGGTTTCTCCCCAGTGTGCGTCCTTTGATGAGAACGTAGACTTGCATTTTTACTGAAGCTCTCTCCACACTCCAGGCATGTATAGGGTTTCTCCCCAGTGTGGATCCTTTGATGGGATCGTAGATTTCCACTCTGAGTGAAGCTCTGTCCACATTCCAGGCATGTATAGGGTTTCTCCCCAGTGTGGATCCTTTGATGCACACGTAGATTTCCACTCCCAGTGAAGCTCTGTCCACACTCCAGGCATGTATAGGGTTTCTCCCCAGTGTGAGTCCTTTGATGCACATGTAGACGTGAATTACAAGCGAAGCCCTGTCCACATTCTAGGCATTCATAGGGTTTCTCCCCAGTGTGGGTCATTTGATGCAAACGTAGACTTGAATTGTGAGCAAAGCTCTGTCCACACTCAAGGCATGTATAAGGTTTCTCCCCAGTGTGAGTTCTTTGATGCACACGAAGATTCCCACTATTAATAAAGCTGTGTCCACACTCCAGGCATTTATAGGGTTTCTCCCCAGTGTGACTCCTTTGATGCGAACGTAGATTTCCACTCTCAGTGAAGCTCTCTCCACATTCCAGGCACGTATAAGGTTTCTCCCCAGTGTGAATCCTTTGATGCACATATAGACGTGAATTACAAGTGAAGCTCTGTCCACATTCTAGGCATTTATAGGGTTTCTCCCCAGTGTGAGTCCTTTCATGCAAACGCAGACCAGAATTACGAGTGAAGCTCTGTCCACACTCCAGGCATGGATAGGGTTTCTCCCCAGTGTGAGTTCTTTGATGTCTATGTAGACTTCTATTATCAGTGAAGCTCTTTCCACACTTCAGGCATGCATAGAGTTTCTCCCCAGTGTGAGTCCTTTGATGCAAACATAGACTGGAATTACGACTGAAGCTCTGTCCACACTCCAGGCATTTATAGGGCTTCTCCCCAGTGTGAGTCCTTTGATGCAAACGTAAATTTTCATTCTCAGTGAAGCTCTGTCCACACTCCAAGCATTTATAGGGTTTCTCCCCAGTGTGACTCCTTTGATGCTTCTGTAAATGTGAATTCTGAGTGAAGGTTTGTCCACACTCCAAACATTTATAGGGTTTCTCCCCAGTGTGAGTCCTTTGATGTCTTCGTAGATGTCCACTGTCAACGAAGCTCTTTCCACACTCCAGGCATTTATAGGGTTTCTCCCCAGTGTGAATCCTTTGATGCGAACGTAGATATGAACTACGAGGGAAGCTTTGTCCACACTCTAGGCATGCATAGGGATTCTCCCCAGTGTGAAACCTTTGATGCACACGTAGACTTCCATTCTGACTGAAGCTCTGTCCACACTCAAGGCATTTATAAGGTTTCTCTCCAGTGTGAGTCCTTTGATGGACACGTAGACTTCCATTCTCACTGAAGCTCTTTCCACACTCCAGGCATGCATAGGGTTTCTCCCCAGTGTGAGTCCTTTGATGCACACGCAGCTTTCCATTCTCACTGAAGCTCTTTCCACACTCTAGGCATGCATAGGGTTTCTCCCCAGTGTGAATCCTTTGATGCACACGTAGACTTCCATTCTGACTGAAGCTCTGTCCACACTCTAGGCATTTATAGGGCTTCTCCCCAGTATGAGTCCTTTGATGCAAACGTAGACGTGAATTATGATTGAAGCTCTGTCCACACTCTAGGCATTTATAGGGTTTCTCCCCAGTGTGAGTCCTTTCATGTTGCTCTAGATTTTCCCTTTGAGTAAAACTCTTTCCGCACTCCAGGCATTTAAATGCTTTCTCCTCCATGTCAATATTCATATGCGTGATGAACGGCAATACAGATATTTGGCACTACTTATTTCCTTTCTTATCTGTAAGTGAAGTCAAGAATCGGCAAGATCATCACAGTGAGATTGTTTCTTCCTTCTTCTTATATTAATGGTTTCCTTACTGCACCCAAGAGTTGGCTCCATAGAATCCTCATTTCCCTGGTGAAGAAAGAAGCAAAAGATCAGTGGTGAAAGCCAGGAATCTTCTTTACTTTCAAGACTTTCCCCGCTTCCCTTCATGGGTCACATGGAAAATGGGAATACCAAGAAAGGCAGACATCTGGGTCTCAAGCACATACACTGATACCAACAAAGGCAACCACTGATTCTTAAACAAGAAGGGAATGAATTGAGAAAGGAAAAAAGGAAAGGAAAGGCTGGAGAAACAAAAGAATGAAAGAAGGAAGGAAGGAAGGAAGGAAGGAAGGAAGGAAGGAAGGAAGGAAGGAAGGAAGGAAGGAAGGAAGGAAGAAAGGGGGGCTCCTAATGTTTATTTCCCTTTGGCAAGATAAAGCAGGGTATAAATATAATAATAATAATAATAAGAAGAAGAAGAAGGAGGAGGAGGAGGAGGAGGAGGAGGAGGAGGAGGAGGAGGAGGAGGAGGAGGAGGAGGAGGAGGATGATGCATTTATTACCCGCCCTCTCTCTGTCGGGATCCAGACGCCTTTAAAGAGCCAGACACAGAGATAAGGTCCAAACAAAGTTTATTAAGGCAACAAAAAAGACTCAGGGACACTTACTTCAGTGTCCCTGGCCAAAACAAAAAGTTTCAAGCAGTTTTCAAGACAAAAACTTAACTTGGCAAATAATCCGGATTTCATTCATTCATTTATTTATTTATTTGTCGTGTCAGGGCAACCAGTCAATTATATTACATTTCTAACAGAACAAAGCAAACCTGCATATAATCTGGGATAAACAAAAGGTTGAGCAAAACGCTCCAAAATCACAGAGTTCAAGGTATGCAAGTAAACAAGGTGGAAGAACACAAAGCCGTAGTCCAAAAACAGTCCGAAGTCATTAGAGTCCAAAAAGCAGCATCGTTGTCCAGGCAATCCAAAGTCAAGAAGAGGGGAAGTCAGCACTTACAGGAATCCAAAGCCAGTCGATACACGGAGAAAGCAGCAATCTGTAGTTCCAGGACCCAACAAGAGAAACGGCAGCGACAAAGACCCAGGCACGAATCCAACACTTTGCCTCTGCAAAGTCCCATTACTCCAGTGCCTACATTTATCTTACAACTCATTATCTGTTGATGAACCGTCCTCCGCCCTTTCCTCATCGCTATCAGCTGCTCTAGCCTCCACAGCTGAACGCCAACGCCCCTCTCATCAACTTTTCCATCTCTTATCAAGACTTAGGTCTCCCCATGTATCACCAGATTGCCAGTCCCCAGAAAACCCCTTGAAAGTATCTCTGGACGTAGGTTGTGTACACACATCTCTCACTTCTTGCACACGAGTCCAATCCAACCCATCCTCCTCCTCGTCACTACTCCCAGACCCATCACTTCCAGTGAAGCCCATAAACTCTTCTTCTTCAGTTGGAGCAGTAAGTATATCACGGATCAGTTTCCTCTGACGCTCTTCGTCAGACTCCTGCTCCCGAGTAATCCGTTTTACACCCCTGCCTTTATCTCCTTCCTCCTCCATTTCTCCTTCTGAGAAACCCTCAAACGAGTCATCGTCGGTAGGAGACATGAATATCTCCCTAACTCTCGTTCTTTGTTGCTCCTCATCCAAACTCTGAGCACCTCTCTTCCCTCCTCTACTACTCCTATCATCAGTGGTTACGTTACTAGGAGACTCAACTACAACACTCTCCCTGAGGGAACTCAGGTGGTTTCCAGGAAATAATAAAAATGGGAAACATTCAATGCCATGAACAGCCACATAGCAATAAAGACATAAACAAGGAATATAATAATCTCATTATAACTTATAAAACCAACCAAAAATTAGCCGAGAATTAAATTAAGTAAACATAATGTAACATAAGGAGTCATAGAATCATAGAATCAAAGAGTTGGAAGAGACCTCATGGGCCATCCAGTCCAACCCCATTCTGCCAAGAAGCAGGAATATTGCATTCAAATCACCCCTGACAGATGGCCATCCAGCCTCTGCTTAAAAGCTTCCAAAGAAGGAGCCCCACCACACTCCGGGGCAGAGAGTTCCACTGCTGAACGGCTCTCACAGTCAGGAAGTTCTTCCTCATGTTCAGGTGTAATCTCCTCTCTTGTAGTTTGAAGCCATTGTTCCATTGCGTCCTAGTCTCCAAGGAAGCAGAAAACAAGCTTGCTCCCTCCTCCCTGTGGCTTCCTCTCACATATTTATACATGGCTATCATATCTCCTCTCAGCCTTCTCTTCTTCAGGCTAAACATGCCCAGTTCCCTAAGCCGCTCCTCATAGGGCTTGTTTGTCCAGACCCTTGATCATTTTAGTCGCCCTCCTCTGGACACATTCCAGCTTGTCAATTTCTCTCTTGGATTGTGGTGCCCAGAATTGGACACAATATCCCAGGTGTGGTCTAACCAAAGCAGAATAGAGCATGGCTTCCCTAAATCTAGACACTATGCTCCTATTGATGCAGGCCAAAATCCCATTGGCTTTTTTTGCCGCCACATCACATTGTTGGCTCATGTTTAACTTGTTGTCCACGAGGACTTCAAGATCTTTTTCACACGTACTGCTCTTGAGCCAGGTCCCCCATTCTGTATCTTTGCATTTCATTTTTTCTGCCAAAGTGGAGTATCTTGCATTTGTCACTGTTGAACTTCATTTTGTTAGTTTTGGCCCATCTCTCTAATCTGTCAAGATCATTTTGAATTCTGCTCCTGTCCTCTGGACTATTGGCTATCCCTCCCAATTTGGTGTCGTCTGCAAACTTGATGATCATGCCTTCTAGCCCTTCATCTAAGTCATTAATAAAGATGTTGAAGAGGACCGGGCCCAGGACGGAACCCTGCGGCACTCCACTTGTCACTTCTTTCCAAGATGAAGAGGAAGCATTAGTGAGCACTCTCTGTGTTCGTCCACTTAACCAATTACAGATCCACCTCACCGTAGTTTTGCCTAGCCCACATTGGACTAGTTTCCTTGCCAGAAGGTCATGGGGGACCTTGTCGAAGGCCTTACTGAAATCCAGGTACGCTACATCCACGGCATTCCCCGCATCTACCCAGCTTGTAGCTCTATCGAAGAAAGAGATCAGATTAGTCTGGCATGACTTGTTTTTGATAAATCCATGTTGACTATTAGCGATGACTGCATTTGTTTCTAAGTGTTTGCAGACCGCTTCCTTAACAATCTTTTCCAGAATCTTGCCCGGTATCGACGTGAGGCTGACCGGACGGTAGTTGTTTGGGTCATCCTTTTTTCCCTTCTTGAAGATTGGGACCACATTGGCCCTCATCCAATCTGCTGGAACTTCTCCCGTTCTCCAAGAACTCTCAAAGATGGTTGCCAATGGTTCGAAATGACTTCCGCTAGTTCCTTCAATACTCTGGGGTGTAGTTGATCTGGCCCTGGGGACTTGAACTCATTAAGAGCGGCCAGGTATTCCTGGACGACTTCTTTCCCAATTTGGGGTTGGATGTCCTCCAATCCCTCATCCACTCCATCTTGCTGAGGTTGAAGACTCTCTTTTTGTGAGAAGACCGAGGCAAAGAAGGCATTAAGTTGTTCTGCCTTTTCCCTATCCCCTGTCAGCATTGCCCCATCTTCTCCGCGAAGAGGTCCTATCGCCTCCTTGTTTTTCCTTTTTCTACTGACATAAGAATAGAAGCCCTTTTTATTGTTTTTAATGTCCCTGGCAAGTCTGAGCTCGTTTTTTGCTTTAGCCTTGCGGACCTTTTCCCTAGAGGTGTTGGCTATTTGTTTGAATTCTTCTTTGGTGATTTCTCCCTTTTTCCACTTCTTGTGCATGTCTCTTTTGTGTCTTAGCACAGTTAGAAGTTCTTTGGACATCCATTCTGGCTTCTTTGCACTTGTCCTATTTTTTCTCTTTGTTGGCACGGTTTGCAATTGCGCCTTGAGTATTTCACTCTTGAGAAATTCCCATCCATCCGTAACTCCCTTGCTTTTAGTATCTGTGTCCACGGAATGCTGCTCAGCGTTTCCTTCATTTTTTGGAAATCAGCTCTCCTAAAGTCCAAAATGCGGGTTTGACTTGTCTTAGTTTCGGCCTTCCTTTGTACCTCAAATTGCAGGAGCACATGGTCACTTGCCCCTAAGGATCCTACCACTTTGACCGCATCGATCAGGTCCTCCGCATTTGTTAGGATGAGATCAAGAGTAGCCAATCCCCTTGTTGCCTCTTCTACCTTCTGGACCATGAAATTGTCTGCAAGGCAAGCGAGGAATTTGTTGGACCTTGTACTCTTGGCCGAGTTTGTTTTCCAGCAAATATCGGGATAGTTGAAATCGCCCATGACTACTACATCTCTTTTCTGTGCCTGTTTGGTCAACTGTTGGCAGAAGACTTCATCAAGTTCTTCCTCCTGGCTTGGGGGTCTGTAGTAGACGCCTACAACGACATCTTTTTGAGTTCCAGTTCCCTTGATTCTTATCCAGATGATTTCAAGCTGGTTTCCCAGATTGCTGTCTTGAATCTCTTCTGCAGCATAAGAGTTTTTGACATATAAGGCTACTCCGCCTCCTCTCCCCTTTGTTCGGTTTCTGTGAAAGAGGTTATACCCCTCGATATCTACATTCCAGCGATAGGAGTCATCCCACCAGGTTTCAGTGATCCCTATGATATCATATTTGTGGTGTTGTGCTAAAAGTTGGAGTTCGTCTTGTTTATTTCCCATGCTCTGTGCATTAGTGTAAAGACATGTGAGCCCCTGGGATCTTCCCTTGAGCTGTTTAATTGGGATTATTGTGCTTTTGGTACTTGGTCCTTGTTGTGTTTGTGCAGCCCTCCGTTTAGCCTTCTGGCGATTCCCAGACATTATGGGTAAAGTAGTGTTCGCAAGGCTGTTGTCCCCCTCCCCCGGTGGACCTAGTTTAAAGTTCGTCTAATGTGGCAAGTCTGAGCTCGTTTTTTGCTTTAGCCTTGCGGACCTTTTCCCTACAGGTGTTGGCTATTTGTCATACAAATGAAACACAATACATAATAATAATAATAATAATAATAATAATAATCATCATCATCCAAAAAGCTACAGACCAA